AAAAAAAAAGAAGAAGGTTGAGGCAGAAGGATCGTCTAAGTCCAGCGGGTGGACGCTATGGTGGCTGTGAGCATGCCGCTGAACTCCAACCTGGGCGACAAGAGTGAGACTCCAACTCAAAAAAAAAAGTAATAAATAGATAAAATCTTTTAAAATATGCATACATTTTTTGGTACCCCTGTTAGGTAAGATGTCACCATCTGTCTAGAACTATGGCCCTAAAGACCTTAATTCATTCTACAATTAACACACATTGGCAGAAACACCCTCTGTACCTCTGGGAATCTAAATAGAAGAACACATGAGGATGTCACTGTAAAGTAAAGAAGGGGACTTTTGTGAGCAGCTTATGAAAGCTGTCTCATTATTTCCTAGAGGTGATTTGACTACTTGTAGGTACACGGCTTACACTGAGTCATTGTGCAAGTAGCTCTGTGTATGTGTGTTTCCACGTAAACGTTTGAGAAAGCATTTGTGTGCAAGACATGGGTAAGTAGAGGACCCCAAATGGGATCTTAATCTCAGTGCTGACTAAGACACACGACAGACTGAAACAATCTATAAAATGAATAAGAAACAGAAAGGAAATCGAGTCAGAAGAGGAAAAAGGCCAACACTGTTGAAGAGGCACAAATGCCATAAATTGAAAATATATGTGCATCACCTCCTAGTTCTGTTTGTCATGCTGATGTGACCTTTAAAAATTATCAACTCGATAATTCAGTTCAGTACCGTGTTCACCAACCCAAAAGGGTTTCGACGTTCACCATTCACCTGAGAAAGAAATGTAGATCAGACTGAAGAAAAAATTTAGTGAAGAACAGAGAGTTCCTAGCTTATAGACATAATTTGTGATATTAATTAACCTCAAGTTTTATAAAATAGTGTCTTGCATGTTAGAGAGACACAAAATCTCAGGGAAACAATTACCAATGTGTCATTTCTTGTCAATTCCACTTCCTGAAAACCTCTCATTTTGATTGACTTGGCCCATGTAAAAATGGAGAAATATAATGTGATGTGTTAAATCTCATAGACAGGTTTAGTGTGAAATGTTACAAGAAAATAGAAGTATACAGATCTTCGCTGATTTCCCCCTGGAGTATGTTTTCTTGAAAGTTTAGGTATTTTGCAAATCTCCTGCATTTTTCTAATGGTTTACCCTTTTTCAAAGGGCTTCTCCATTTCTGATCCTTGTTGATCCGCATCACAACTTTGTGCGCTATGTGAATATTAAGTGAGACAAAAGCATGCTACAGAGAAGTCATGTGGTTTATTCAAGGTGTCACCTTCAAGGGCAGCCCCACAACAAGTAATTCCAATTCTCCTTCCGCTAGTCGTTAACACCTCCCCAAAATGATATAAAAGGTATTCACACATCCCATTCCAAGAGTTATGGAGACTCTTGTTGTGATGTGTTATAGTGAGATTACATATGGGCATTTCCGGCAGGAGGGTACCATGTGGCCATCCAGGCTGTGTGTTCATTCGAATCAGTTGGTGCCTGGGCGATGGTAAATATTTGGATGTCACCTCTGAGTACAGGCATAGTGGAAAAGGCCCTGGATGGGGGTCAGAAACATTGAGTCCTGGTCCTTGTTTTTTGTTTTTTTTTTTTGAGTTGGGAGTCTCACTCTGTCGCCCAGCCTGGAGTGCAGTGGCTGCTCCCGGCCACCGCAGCC